AGGGTGTGACTGTGTATTGGACCACAAAGCAAATCTCAGCAGCTTAATAAAGATGAAGTCCTGTGGGATATTCTTTAATCCCAGTATGAATAAAGCTGAAAGTCGATACAGGAAGATATTTGTTTTTTTGGAAAGATTTATTTGAAAGGCAGAGTTACAGAGAGGGGTGGGCGGAGAGACTTCTGTCTGCTGGTAACTCCCCAAATGGCTGCAGTAGTCAGCGCTTCTCTGCTCTGAAGCCAGGAGCTACTCTGGGTCTTCCTCTTGGGTCCAAGGATTCGGGCCATCCTCTGCTGCCTGCCTGGCCCTGTGACCAGGCTGCTGGGTTGGAAATGGAGTGCTTGGGACTCCAGCTGAGCCCATGTGGGTGTGGCAGATTCATTCACTGTGGCACAGCATCAGCCCCAAAGATAATTTTTTTTTAGGATTTATTTGTGTATTTCTTTATTTTAAAGATGGAAAGACATAGAGACTTGTTACCTCTGGTTTACTCCCCAGTTGCCTGCAGTGGCTGGAGCTGGAAGCTGGGAAATTTGTAAAGGTCTCCCACATGCATGGATGGATGGAATCCAACTACTTGCGCTAGCGCTGTTACCTCCCAGGGCGTCATTCCTGTTAGCAGGAAGCTGGAATTGGGAGTAGCATCAGTACTCCAACCCAGACACTCCAATATGGCCTGCGGGCTTCCTAAAAAGGTGTTTTACCTGCTGGAGCATGTGTGGTCCCCGAAATCTTTAATATATATCCTAATATGTGCATTGTTAAACATCCCATGTTTGTTTTTAAAGATTTATTTATTTGTTGACTTGAAAGAGTGACAGAGAGGAAGAAAAGTAGAGGTCTTCCACACATCGTCTCGCTCCCCAAAGGTCCGTAACATAAGATCTGGGGTAGGCAGGAGCCAGGAGCCAGGAACTCCAGCCTGGTCTCCCACATGTCAGGAATTCAAGTACTTGGGCTGTTCTGAAGCTAGCCAGGACTTGAACCATTGCTCCCGTATGGAACGTGGCATCTTATTGGCTTAGCCCCTCTGTGTGACAATGTCAGTCCTTCATGGGTTTATTTTGTTAGACCTGCTTTTAACCAAACAACATCAGCTTCCAGAGGCCAGTACTGAGAATTCAGCATTGTTTAACAGGACGGTTTATTCTCGTCTGCTTTGAAGCTACAGACTATGCAGTCGTAAAGATCAGAGAAGTAGTTTGTAAAGCAGACAGCTGTGGTTGCTGTTGACTCTGTTGTCCAGTCTTTTCCTAAGCCATTACTCACCAACTCTTCACCCCCTTAGCAAGGATAAGAAACAGGTGAATAAATAACAGCCAGTGAGCAGGGGGTTGGCTTTCTCTACAGGGCAGTTCTCTGAAGTTAGACTTGCACGTCTTGTTATTCTAAGAGCTCCAGTGTTGCTGAGGAGTTGGCTGTGTAAGCCAGCTGAGCTGGACTGCTTCAGTCTGCCTTGTGCCAATGATTTCCTCTGCCCACGATGGACAGTGGACTGAGCTGTGTGTTAGAAAGACCAGCTTTACCACTACTTCACCTCGGGCGAGCAATAGTGTCTCTCAGCTTTATCAGCTACTCGTGGCTGAAACACCACTCACTGCTTATTCCACAAAGTTGTTTGCAGATGTAATGAAATGCTGTATTCTCCCGAACTCTCAGCGATTTGGTTTTAAACAAAGTGAGTCCCTGTTCGTGTACATTGTAAATCAGTGGTGTCTCTCCTTTCCTCTCTTCTCCTCACGTGAGTGTTCGTCTGAATGAACTTGGTCTGGATTTATCTTCTCCCAAAACCTGATTCTCAGCTGTTGAACCTGGATTTATGCAGTTCTTTATTTAGAGGTGGGAGAGTTGAACTTACAGAGATAGTTTGAGTATTTTTTTTTTAAAGATTTATTCATTTATACTCAGAAGTGAAAGTTGTAGAAAGAATGGGAGAGATGGAGTTCTTCCATCTGCTGGTTCACTTCCCTCATGGCCACGATGAACAGAGTTGGGCCAGTCAGAAGCCAGGAGCCAGGAACTGCCTTTGCATCTCTCATGTGCTTGCAGGAGCCCAAGGCCCTGGGCCATACTCTTCTGCTTTCTTAGGCTACCAGCAGGGAACTGGATCAAAAGTGTGGCAGCTGGGACTTGAACCTGTGTCCGTATGGGATGCCAACACTGCAGGCAGAGGACCAGTGCGTTCTTTCACTGGCCAGCATCAACTAAAGCTACTAGGCAACATCGCAGTTTCTCAGAGTCCTTCCTTTGTTTTCCTGTCACATTCGTCTCGCATGGTCCCTCATCTAGGGCATGAGTTGACTTCTCACAGTCCTTGGGATTGAATCCAGGTCTGTGTGGGCAGTGAGAAAGTGACTCAACTTCTCTACATTTTTTTTTCACCTTTAAAATGAAGGTGATAATATTGTTTATCTCTAGGAGTACTTTGTGGTTTAAATGAGATTTTATATATATATAAATCTGTGTAGCCAGAATAGCTCAATTGGGAGAGTGTTAGACTGAAGAAGATTTTATATAGATCAGTGTAACAGGGTCTGGCACCTAGAAAGTGTTCATAATGTTTTAGTGTTCTTGTAGCGTTACTGAGGATGACTTCTGAGAATTCTCCATTCTTCTAAATTAAAATGGTGGGCCAGAGGTTTGGCACGGTGGTTCCGATGCTGCTTGGGGTTGCCAGATCTCATGTTGGGAATGTCAGGTCCCAACTCTGCTGCTGACCCATCTTCCTGCTGGTGTACATCCCGGGAGGCAGCGGGTGATGGCCAAGTACGTGGGTGCCCCCTGCCCTTGTGGGAAGCCTGGACGGACTTCCCGACCCCTGGGCTGTAGTCTGGCCTAGCCCTGACTCCTGCTAGGTACTTGGGGAGGAGCGAGCCAGTGGTTAAAATATACCCCTCTTTGTTTCTCTCTTTGCCTTTCAAGTAAATAAAATAAATACTGTGTGAAAAATAAAATAATATTCTAGTGTTTTTTGATATATTCTTTCTATATGTTTATATATACATATAGAATGTATTTTTTGTTTTATAGATGCAACTGTGGTTTTTAATATTTATGTTCCAGTTTACCTTTCAGTAAGAGGTGGTTAATACCTAAAAATGATTTATTCTGGAGTTTAAAAATTAGTAGATTAATTAACTAGGGAGAAGTTCAAATAGACTTTTTAAAAACATACTCCATGAACCAAGCAAGAGGTATTATTTACTCTCAAGATAACATTGTGCTATAGGAAAGAGTTTGATTCTGTTTCAGAGCTTAAAATGTGAAGCCACGGGGATTTGTAAGAAATGCTAGGAAAAGAGGGCAGGACTTTGCTTTCCTTTGCTTTCCTTCCCACGGCATCTTTGGTGCCTGACACAGCGTGGAGTACATAGCGTTCCACTGTCCATCACAGCTGGATTTGATGGGTGCAGATCCTGCCTTCAGACGTCACCGTCCCTGTGGCCTCACAGCATTGTGGTGTTAGCATCGTGCAGTATTCTGAAGCTACATTTCAGATCTGTATAAGGACCTGTTGGTAGCAGGCATTTTTAAGTGTACACAGTGAATGGGGTTGAGGCTGAAGGTGAGCGAAGTTCGCTCCGATAGAGTCTGAACAGCAATAGGGAGGTGGATGTGTTACGGCTGAGGCGTGGAGCCAGAACAGTCTAGCACCGTATTCAAATGATTTTCCTTCTTGCTTTGATGTCTTCCTTCTTCCAAAGCTCTTTGTTACATTAGTGAGATTTAGTGAAAATCGGTTGAATTCAGATTTTAACTCTTGAAGAATTTTTATCTAGGGATGATGTCTGCTTTTTTTTTTTTAAGGTATTTTTCATTTTTATTGTAAAGTCAGATTTACACAGTGAAGGAGAGACAAAGATCTTCCGTGGCTGGTTCACTCCCCAAGCGGCCACAGTGGCCTGGGCTGAGCTGATTTGAGGCCAGGAGCCTTCTTCCTGGTCTTCCACATGGGCAGAGTCTCAGAGCTTTGGGCCGTCCTCAACTGCTTTCCCAGGCCACAAAGCAGGTAGCTGTATGGGAAGTGGAGCAGCCGGGACGCAAACTGGCACCCACATGGGATCCTGATGCATGCAAGGCGAGGATTTAACCATCAGGCTACCGTGCTGGGCCCTGTCTGCTTTTTCAATTACACACTTTTCCCATTGAGCTCAGTGGTTTCAAGTCCAAAGCACTGATGCATTTTGTTATATAATGCATTTTGCAGCCTTTATTCTATCATGTTTTTCACAATTCTTGCTTTCCATGGCTGATGTTTTCAAAAGATGACCTCTTCTTGCTCCTCGTGAATATTATTGTAGATCCTCTTCCCAACCACGTTAGGGCCAAAAAACACAATTGTCTATGAGAAACTGATGTGTCACTTTCCCTGCAATACTGAGGGAGGGTGGTGAGGATGACTGCAGGCTGGTCTGGTCTTCCGCAGCCCTGCTTCTAGGGCTCCTGCACGCCCAGGCTCCTTTTTCTAGAACATTTTTTCTAGATTGTTACTGCAGTAATGCTTTCCTATGCTCTGATGAGCACCGGTTACCTTCCTTAGTTAGGAAATGTCCCCATGTAAGTGTGAACTGACTCAGTATATTCAAACTGCCTTGGGGAAATTTCAGAAGAGTTCTTTTGGAAAACACATGATCACCTTTGGCTTATGTTTGAGATTTGTTTTCGTTTTGATTGTTAGTGGTAGCTTTTTTTTTTTTTTACACCCCCCCTCCCTCGCCCAGATTTGGATTTTCAAATACATGGTTTCCTTAAAAACAGAGAATATTTAGAAGTGACTTCTAAGATCATTTGTGAACTTTTCCCTGGATTGGGATGCACTGATACAAGCAGTCATTTGGAGATCCCTGAACTGAATATGAATTCAGTTCTCCTCTAAAGAAGGAAACAGCTTCCTTGTCCTTGGAAAGCACCGTCCTCCCTGCGCAGGAAGGCCTGCCCTGGTGCTGCACGCTGAGGTCGGGGGGCCTGGCCTCACTGTGTGCTCCCCCCTTGTGTTACAGCTGGTGGACAGCGAGGTGGTCATGCTCTCGGCTCACTGGGAGAAGAAGAGGACGAGCCTGGTGGAGCTGCAGGAGCAGCTGCAGCAGCTCCCCGGCCTGCTAGCCGACCTGGAGTCCGTGATGGCCAGTCTCTGTAAGTTGGGTGTCCGTGGCTGAACACTGCCCTCGGGGAAGAAAGCGATCTGGACAGGAATGCGTGCAATTTCAGAATTTCCTGAAGTTATCAACAAGATTTTTGAGAAATAGTTTGCTGTAGTCCATTTAACCAAGGGTTAGATAGAAATTATTTAAATACAGAAACGGTTCCTGAAATGTTTCTTTTTTCAGTCATAGTTGAATTCCAGAAGCATAATCTGGGGTTTTATCCTTAAAGCGACTTGGGACTATCTCTGTGCTGCTAGGTCACTTTGTGTAACAGTAGATGCGTAGGTGCAGGCGTTATGTGCAGTGGGTAAGACATCCGCCTCCCGCAGCGCAGTGTCAGGGTCAGTCCCTGGCTCCAGGCTCCGGGACACGGAAGTAATGGCTCAAGTGACAGAGCTCAGCCACTCTCACGGGCGGCCCCCCAGCTCTGCCTCGGCCAGCTCCCGCAGGATGGGACCCAGCACGTGGGAACATTGTCAGTCTCGCTCTCAAATGAACATGTGAAAGTTAAAAAAAAGAAAAAAGAAAGAATTAGGGTGGCTTTGTCCATCTCCAGGGGGCTACTCCAGAAGCTGCTGCTTTTAAAACTTAGAGCTGGTCAGGCTTGATGTCTCGACGTTTTGGTTTTCTCTTCCTTTCTTTAAACTAATGAGCAAAGGAATTAGAGGAGAGTCCTTGTTTGGCTAAATTCATACTTTGTAGAAATTTATTTATGTAGTTTTCATTTGGAGGAATTATGTTGGCATTCTTTTTTTTCTTGGGTTAGTATTCAGAAATTATTACATCTGACAGTCTTACATCTGAGGATAATACTTGTCGTTGTCAAGACACGAAACTATAATTTAGTTTAATTATCGTAATAAGCTTTATTTCTGATTCTGGAATCAGGCAACACTTCATCTTATAAATAGAATATATGGGCTGTGTTGTGGCATAGCGGGTAAAGTTGCTGCCTGCAATTCCACCATCCCACGTGGGAGCCAATTCATGTCCTGGCTGCTCTACTTCTGAGCCAGCTCCTTGCTAATGGCCTGGGGAGAGTGTGTTCAAGTGTGTTTTTGTTTGTTTGCTTGTTTTAAGATTTAAGGAAGAGATTTTCCATCTGCCAGTTCACTCTCCAAATGGCTGCCAAGGCCAGAGCTGGGACAGTCAGGAGCTTCTCCCAGATCTACTGAGGATTTGAACCATCCTCTGCTGTTTTCCCAAGGCCGTTAGCAGGGAGCTGGACGTGGAGCAGCTAGGGCATAAACTGGCACCTATATGGGATGCTGGCATTACAGGCAGAGGACTAGTTGCTAGGACCATGTGTTTGGGGGAGTCCTGAAAGAAGCTCCTAGCACCTAGCTTTGGCATGTCCTAGCCCCAGCCACTGCAGCCATCAACAGAGGGAGCCAGTGGATGCCAGATATCCCGTCTCTCTTTCTTTGTAACTGCTTTTCAAATAAACAATTTTTTTTTTTTAATGACCAACTCTGCTGTTTTTGCTTCCTTCAGCTTTTCTTCACTATACAGTCTATGTATTTATTTGAATGTCAGAGTTGCGGAGAAAGAGCTTATATCCACCGGAAGCCTCCTCCAGGCTGCCACGTGGGCAACAGCACACAGGCCATTTTCCGCTGCCTTCCTGGGCTGCTGACAGGGAGCTGGGTTAGAAGTGGAGCAGCTAGGTCACCAAATGGTGCCCATAATGGTTGCTGGCATTGAAGATGAGAGCTTTCCCTGCCACTCCAAAACATCAGCCCACAGTTGGTATTCTTGAAAGCTGAGACGAGACAGAACAGCAGGACAAGAACCGATGGGGCCATGTCAGTGAAGATGAAGGCAGGCGGGCCCGGCTTGGAGGCGCAAGTGGTTAAGGTCCTCGCCCTGCACGCCCGGGATCCCATATGGGCGCCAGTTCTATCCCGGCAGCCCTGCTTCCCTTCCAGCTCCCTGCCTGTGGCCCGGGAAAGCAGTCAAGGACGGCCCAAAGCTTTGGGACCCTGCACCTGCGTGGGAGACCCGAAAGAGGCTCCTGGCTTCGGATCGGCATAGCATTGGCCGTTGCGCTCACTTGGGGAGTGAATCATCGGACGGAAGATCTTCCTCTCTGTCTCTCCTCTCTGCATATCTGCCTTTCCAATAAAAAAATAATAAAAATAAATCTTTAAAAAAAAAAAGATGAAGGCAGGGGAAGTTCCGTGACCAGGGTGGTAGTTATAGCCTGTCTGGGAAATGTGGCTGTTATTCCTCTAATCCAGACTTCTTGGAGAGACCGACAGTAGCTTGAAAGGGAAGTTTCGGCTTAAGGAAGGGAGCTTTATCACAAGTGATTCTATTTTGATTTTTAACCCGATCCGTTGATAGCCTTGTGTGAAAAGTTAGTCCAAAATGGTGACCTCCTTTGATTTTTTTTTAAAATTGAATGGTGTTTCCTAAGCAAACTTAACATCTCACTGAAGCAGCAGCTAGAGTTCTCAGAGCTGATGACATGATCTGGTGAGGACACTCCATCTTCTGCTTCAGTTTTGTGATGCTATTTGATTAAAAAAAAACCACCGATTGACAAGTAATTAACAAGCCACAAATTGGGTTTTTGCGTACGTGACTGAAACAGATTGGGAGTGCTGTTGCTCGTAACAGCAGCATCCCTAGCATCTCCCACCTGTCACGTGGGCTGCTTTATGGGACACGAGGCAAGAACCCCACAAAAATAGTCATGTTGTCCCCACTCGGCATGTCAGGAAAGTAAAGCTTAGAGAGGCCGTGGCTTGCTCAGGATCACAGTTAGTTGGATGAGGACCCGGAATCCCAACCCCCCGGTCGAGAGAAGACACTGGGGTGAACCACTGTTGGAGGCTGGGGCCTGTACCGTCGGCATCCGAGGGTGGGCTGGGGCTGTTTGTGAAGTGGAGCGTGGCGAGTCCACGGCGTGGGACACTGTAAGATGGCTGTGGTTTCCTCCTGCCCCTCCCGTGGGGGTGGTGACGGCTCCTCTCCCGCCTTGGAGCCTGAGCACACAGCCCTCGGGCTGCTGGCATTTTCTTCTCCACTGTTGAGACGTTGCTTTGCCACTTGCTCCTCCTTGCCTCACTGGCTGTCCTTGTGTAATTCCTTGCATATACTCTGCATCAGGCCCTCCCTCTGTTCCTCAGCAGCTGAAGATTCAGGTTTTTAATCTATAGCCCTGCATTCCTTTTTAAAAAAGAGTCATTTTATTTAAAAGAGACCAAAAATGAGAGGGACTTAGGCTGGTTCACTCCCAGAATGGCTACCATGGGTCGAGTTGGGCCAAGCCAAAGCCGGAGCCAGGTCTCCAGGTCTCCCTTGTGGGTGGCGGGGACCCCTGCCCTCAGTCTGCCACTGCCTTCCCAGGCACCTTTGCAGAGAGCTGGATGGGACATGGAGCAACTGAGAGTACAAGTGGCAATCAGGTGCGGGTGACAGCTTACCCTTTGTGTCACAGTGCTGGTGCCTGCTTGTTCTCTGATGCCACTTTACGAATTGAGTGCGTTTGCCACAATTATTACTGTTTTTCTATTTTGAAAATGTGACCTACATAAGGCTTTGTTAACACACTGCTTCCATCCTGAGTCAGGGTTCTAACGTCCTGAGAGGAGTTGGTGTTTAGAGACGCCCAGCTGCCCCGTGCCTTCAGCAAGCGTGCAGGTCCCCATTGTCCACTGGAATTCTTTCTCCTCACTAAAGGGACATGTAAGCTAAAGGACTCTGAAATCCTGTTCTGGGTGGTCACCCCCCAAATAGATTTGAACTCTCTGTTCTCTTTTTTCTGGCCCTATTTGGAGAGTTCATCTTGTTTGCTTAGATGAGACATTTGTGAATTATTACTCTTTCACATTTAAGATACCTGTTACTTTTTGGGCTTGTTAGCTGTTATTTGCTGAATGTTATACATCATCCTGAAAATGACTGGAAGATCCGAGTCCAAGTTTTGAATGAACTTGGACTTGGACTGTGAGCCGTGCTGGCCGGCCGGGCTGCCATCCGTGTGTGCAGATGCTCCTGTATCCATGCACTGGCAGAATTCATCTGAATACAGTGATGCACCGTTTCTTAGGCGCTGTGAGAACGGAGCGTTTGCAATGTTCATTCATATCCTGCTGGATTCCTTCTCATATTCTGCCTCTCGGATAGAATGTCTCCGCTCATCACTGAAATACATTGACATAATAATACAAGGTTTAATACAGCCAAACCATAACAACAAATAAAATAGCAACTTGGACGAAAGTGGTAGCTAACTTCTTTGCACTTTTTGCCCACCTGCTGGCAGCTCTCCATTTTCTAGGCTACTTACCTCGTTTGAGCTTTCCTCCCGTGAAGAGGGACTTTGCCCATACTAAGTGTTCTGTGAGCAACCTAGACTTATATTTTTTTTAAGATTTATTTATTTATTTATTGGAAAGTCAGATACACAGAGAGGAGGAGAGACAGAGAGGAAGATCTTCTGTCTGATAATTCATGCAATGGCCGATGCTATGCCGATCCGAAGCCAGGATCCAGGAACTTTCTCCAGGTATCCCACACGGGTGCAAGGGTCCCAAAGCTTTGGACAGTCCTCGACTGCTTTCCCAGGCCCCAAGCAGGGAGCTGGATGGGAAGTGGAGCTGCCGAGATTAGAACCACCGCCCATATGGGATCCTGGCGCATTCAAGGCGAGGACTTTAGCCACTAGGTTATTTTTTGAAGGCTGGGGAGGAGGGTGAGTGGTGAAGAGTGGGAGAAAGAGAAGGAACATGGGAGCACTCTTACCCTGTGGCTCACTCCTTAACTGCCCAAGACAGCTGGGGCTAGACCATACCGTCTGGGGTTCCCAGGTGGCTGGCAGGAACCTAAGTATTTGGGCCGTCATCAGCTGCCCCCCGAGTATGTTTGCAGGAAGTCGAGCAGCCAGAACTCGAACCAGGCATTCTGATATGCGGTGCAGGTGCGCCAAACAGCAGCCTGCACCACTGTGCCACAAAACTCAGCTTCACTTTGGGCTTGTGG